TGGAGAGTGTAAGGAGTTTGGGGGGGGGGGGGGTGTCAATTTATAAGACGGTGATTATTTTTTAAAATGTAAAGATGGCCAGGTGAAAACATTTGATGGTCCAAGGGGGACAACAAACAAAAANGAAAGTGTTACACACCAAACGAAAGTGTTACACACCAAACGAAAGTGTTACACACCAAACGAAAGTGTTACACACCAAACGAAAGTGTTACACACCAAACGAAAGTGTTACACACCAAACGAAAGTGTTACACACCAAACGAAAGTGTTACACACCAAACGAAAGTGTTACACACCAAACGAAAGTGTTACACACCAAACGAAAGTGTTACACACCAAACGAAAGTGTTACACACCAAACGAAAGTGTTACACACCAAACGAAAGTGTTACACACCAAACGAAAGTGTTACACACCAAACGAAAGTGTTACACACCAAACGAAAGTGTTACACACCAAACGAAAGTGTTACACACCAAACGAAAGTGTTACACACCAAACGAAAGTGTTACACACCAAACGCACTTTTTTAAAATAAAATCTCATTTAGCGCAGTTAAGCTGGAATTTTATTTCGTGAAATCAGTGTCATAATATTTCCTTCATCTTCCATTTGAAGAACTGGTCAAATTGATTTTTTGGGGGGTTTGTGACGGGGGTGGGGGGGATGGGGATGAAAATATGATTAGAATGTGTTCAATCGGCAACGAGTCTGTGTGCTAAGTTTCAGCTCGATGGGTTGACGGTAAGTGTGTCAAATAGCCGTCCGAAGATTTTGCCCGTCCGCCAACCAACCAGCCATAGAAAGCAGGCCAGCACAACATACGTCCCGCCAGCACCCACTTGGTGGCTCGTGAAGTAACGAAATATTTTTTATTATTATTATTTTCTTAATGGCTCCCCCCCCCCTCTCACGGTCTTATAATCTTTTCGACTCGCACAAGTTTTTTATAAAGTATTACGGCCACGCCTTACATTTTGAGTTGTGCAGGCCTGGTCTAAAGGATATTTTGATGTTCACTTCCTGTTGATACGTCCGTTTTTTTTTGTTGTTTTTTTTTTTTTTTTTTTTTTTTTTTTTTTTTTTTTTTTTTTTTTTTTTTTTTTTTTTTTTTTTTTTTTTTTTTGTTCTTATCAGGTTTTCTCTCGTTCTACTTATTATTTTTTTTACCTAGCCCAGTGGTCGGTAAATCGCGGCTCGCATGCGGCTCTTTAGCGACCTGAGTGCGGCTCGGCCAGTCGGCCACAAATTGGGTTTGACTCCGAAAAACATGTTTCTTGACAGCGTCTTGAAAAGAAATGTAACATTTTTTTAATCGTCCTGCTGCTGATTTTAGGCTCTTTTGACTAATGAGTTTGCCGACCACTGACCTAGCCTAATTGCTGGCTGTGCTCCCAAGCAAAAAGCCTTCATGGGTGGTTCACAAACTTTTGGATACTCGGCGCCCTAGCTCGACCAGGTTTTCCCAAGCCCAAGGCACTTTATGTCAAATTCTTAAAAGTAGGCCCTACATAAAGAGAACAAAAATCGGATATTTTAAGCGACTAATGGTTATACGAGTATGATGTCGACTTGTCTTTTGTATCAATTCCACGAAATTATGACAATAATAAATCAGCTACTATACATAATTATATAACAATTTTTTTTAAAGAACATTTGGCTTCTCTGTGGGAATATGATTGCATCAAGAATAACTGAAAATAAGTAAACTTAAAAAGGCAATGATTTTTATTCCTTAACAATACTTGAGTTTTTTTTATACATCAGGAAATGTAAGAGTCGAGGGCTGCAAATGTAAAACCTTTTGATAAAATGCTAATGACGCTGTCAATTGTTTCTCAGCAAGTTTTTGGATTTGTTGCTAGCACTCAATTAGAGCATAATAAAATATTTATTAAAGTGGGGGGGGGGGAATAATTTTTGAAAGTCCCAACCGCAATCGGGGAGGGGAGGGATAAAGTGGTGGAGCCCAGATGCAGTTTTTCAGACGGCCAGGAGACTTAGTTGCAAAATGACTTGAGTACATTAAAACAAGGGAAATCACGCAATTAGCCATTATTGCCTTAATATTGTACGACGGTTTTATAATCCCTATTTAAATTATAAAGTTCACTTTTACGTGTGTTGGTTTATAATTTTTTTAATCAATTACTAATTAATTAGTAATTTAGTTATTTCTGCTGGTGCACTAAATTCACTTTTGTAGTAATTTACGGACGCCGCCACTACTTAAACTAATTTTATATAGCCTACCAATGAGAAGAAATAAATAACTTCGATTTAGTTTATTATTCTAGCACGTCATCTAGTTTCTATGCGCAGAGGCGTCTGCACAAGGTCCGTGAAATATCACAAGGTACTGAAAACTGAAATAAAATTATGAATTAATTTTACTTTTTTATAGGCGCACACAGTCTGTGTTTTTTTACGGTAGTTTGTGGCTAGTGGGGCCGCCCACTTTATGTTTCCGGTGAATGTGAAGTTTGAATTCTTTGTTTATTTTTTGTAGTGTAATGTTATCGTCTCAAGCCAGACTAGAGGCTACTGAGAGAAGTAGCGTAAACTAAAAAAGCAATGCACCTTGTTGTAACGCTTAAGAAAAACTCTTAAGCTATATCTTATAAATGAATTCGCGGCACTCGTTTCTCCTTCACCACGAAAAAAATTATCTCACTCAGTGACTGCAGCAGTGATTTGAGATAAATCGAGCCGGCCCTATCCAAACTAAGAACTAACTTCAAGAATCAAGGTGGCCTATCTACCGGAGTGTGCAGATCATGCAGTGGTTTTCCAACGCCTAATTGAAAGAAAAGAAAGTCTGAATTATAAATATACTTTACTAGTACCACATTCCAATTTGTAAAACACATACAAGGAATATATGGTAGATTGTCGCCATTGAACTTGAACACTTAACACTGATTTAGACTAGTTTTGGGATTGAACATTGATAATATTATATATGCTAAATATATTTTTATTTTGGCTTTAGGTCTATGCAGAAGCTCAGTAAGGGGTTATTCGCAAAGATGTAGTATTAGAAAACTGTGAGGTAAACCTCAAAACAACTAAGTCCTACCTGAGCCAAATTATGGCCACAACAGTTTTTGCTGCATTTTTCAATATGTGCAGAAGGTGTGCGCGGCTGAGTTTCATGGTTCCTATAATACCAGAGGCAATTTCGACCTCAAATTAATGTTTAGTTTTTAAAATTATTTGAATAAAGATTTTTTTAAATTAGAAAATTTAGATTTAAATTTTTTTTAAATTTTGTGACATCACAAAGTTTTGACCCTCCCCCCTGTCACAAGTGTCACAAATCCTCGACCCCACTCCTCCCCCCTGACTATGACATAATTTTCAAATGACCCCTAACAACCTACTCTACATCATCTGCAGGAGTAGAATAAGTATTAGAAGATCATTTGTAATCTCATTGTATTAGCTATAGATAATTTTAATAATTCAAATTGTGTGGAAGCAAGATTACACCCCGGCGGCCCTCTGTATGATGCCATTTTATGTTTTTTGGGTCTTTATAATTAATTTTGGTCTTCTGAAATATGACAGGAAACTTTGGGAAGCATGCAAGCTTTGTTGATAATATATGCTCTATAGTCCATTTTGGCTAAGTTAAAGTTATAAAAATTATATGTACATACATAGAAGGTGAAAACCTGAAATATCACAAAACTTACAAACAAACAAAGTTTCCTCTAGAAAGTCTTCAACAGCAGACAAAGAGGATCATAATCATAAAAGTTAACTTAACAGATGTTAAAAGTCCACAGAATTCTGTGGTGAAAGTGAACAGTAAATGGAAAATCATTTATATAAATGAAACGATTGTTGTGAATACTTGTTTATTATTTGTTTTACAGAAAAGTTTGTTGAAAATAGCCCTCATCTATGTACAGATAGCATTAAAATGTCAAGGAAAAGACAAATGATTCGGGTATGTGTTTATGTTTAGAAATGCCTACAGTTTTTTTTATTCATTGATATTTAAGTTTTCGTATTTAAAGAATATAAATTAAAGAAAACCATTCATAATGGAAGGAAATGTTACCTTGTAAAATGTAAAGAAAATGATATTAAAGGATTTAAATGTTTTTAGGAATGAGAAGTCATAGCGTTGCCAATTAAAAAGTATATACCTGTAGCTTTAATTAATATTTTTACAATTCACAGAGATCATTTCTTGAAACGTTACCAATATTTAATATCTAGAGTTCGTCGCACTTGTGTCCATACATTTTAGAACTGCAAATGACTTTATATATATTTAATTTTCTTCCAGGAGTCATGTGAAGAGAACTTCTCTTCACCAATTAAACTGGTGAAACTGGACTATGGTGAGGATTTTATGATTTTGTGACATTAGCTGTCTGATCACTGAGTTCAGAATCTCCCATAGTTATCGTTTAGTTTCTGACAGTCATGTGGAGATCATAGGGACTTTTCGAATACATTATTATATATTCTTGCTTTTTCACTTCACTGAGACTGACAAATTGAGAATTTCTCCCTCACTTTAAACAAGGCTACTACTCAAGTCAAATATTGCCATGGTCATCTTTGCATGTGAAATAGGAGCAAGAAAAATAATTAGAGAAAATATTCTGGTACTATTTGTTTTTTTCAAAATCAAAATTTAATAAATATATTCCCACTTCCCTTGTCTAATATTTGGTTTCCCTCACATAGTAATGACAGATTTTTATTTTAGTTAAGCTTATTCCATTTGTTTGACTGCCTCTTTTTGCAAATAATCTTAGTTTTTATATCACCACAGACTTGGATGGTTCGTTTCAAAGAGACAGAGAAATTGTGCAGGTACACAAAAATTTAATGCAGTAATTTTAGGTTTACAAATATCTGAAATTTTGATTTTTTTTTTTTATTTTTGTAAAAAAAAATTTCTTTGTAAATTTAATAAATATTTAGCAGCATGATTTATATTGTTAAAGAGTTAACATTATTTCTTTATCTAGCGGGGAATAGAGAAGAACCAAGAGCGGCGAGTTATGTTAAAAGCCAAACACAAGTTAGAAAGACCAGGTCTCCACATCATGAGGCGACTTCAAAGAAAAGAAGAGTTGATTGAGAGCCTGATGCTCAAAATTTCAGAGCTAGATAAAGGAAATAAAGGTAGATGAATAGTTGGGATGTAATTAATATGAATAGTTCTGATGTAAGACGTATGAACAGTTCTTATATAATTAATATGAATAATGCTGGTATAAGTAATAGGAAAAGTTCTGGTGTGAGTAATATGAACAATTCTTCTTGTGTAAGAAATGGGAATATTCTTATGTAAGCTAGAGACCGACCGAATTTCGGTTTCGGCGCCGAAAGTGGCCATTTTATCACTTTCGGCCAAGTTTTGGTTTCGGCCGAAACTGAAAAGTTAACTTTCGGCTTAATTTCGGTTTTGGCCGAAACTGAAAATTTAACTTTCGGATTTTCTTCGGTTTCGGCCGAAATTGACTTAGACTTTCGGCCATCCGGCCGAAAGTGACTCAGGTTTTCGGTCAATTAAAACTCAGCAAAAGCTATTATATTTAACTACAAACTAAGCGATATTTAAGAACAAATTAAGCGATCTTTGTGAACAAACTAAACGATATTTAACAACAAACTAAATGACATTTATGAACAAACTAAACGATCTTTAAAACAAACTAAGTGATCTTTAAAAGCTATCTAAGCGATCTTTAATAACAAACTAAACTATTTTTAAGAACAAAATACACGATCTTTAACAATAAACTAAGCGTTCTTTAACAACAAACTTGACGATCTTTGACAACAAACTAAGCGATCTTTAACAACAAACTAAACGATCTTTAACAACAAACTAAGCGATCTTTAACAACAAATTAAGCGATCTTTCAGAACAAATTAAGCGATCTTTAAGATTAAACTTTTCGATATTTTAGAACAAACTAAGCGATCTGTATGAACAAACTCACAGATCTTTAAGAACAAACTAACCGATCAATAACAACCAACTAAACGATCTTTGACAACAAACTAAGCGATCTTTAAGAACAAACTAAACGATCTTTAACAATAAACTAAGCGATCTTTAACAACAAACTAAATGATCTTTAACAACAAACTAAACGTTCTTTAACAACAAACTAAGCGATCTTTGACAACAAACTAAGCGATCTTTAACAACAAACTAAGCGATCTTTCAGAACAAATTAAGCAATCTTTAAGATTAAACTTTGCGATATTTTAGAACAAACTAAGCGATCTGTATGAACAAACTCACAGATCTTTAAGAACAAACTAACCGATCAATAACAACCAACTAAACGATCTTTAAAAACAAATTAAGCGATCTTTTAGAACCACAATTTTTAGAGACCCGGTTTAAAAAAATAATATTTTGCATTAATTTCCCCCCACCCCACAATTTTTGCCAAATATTCTCCTACCATACAAATTTAAAAATAAATTGTAAAGCAATTTAAATTAATTTTATATTAAAATGGTAAAATCCAAAGTATTCATTAGATCAAGGGTCTCAAACTCAAATCATCAAAAGGGGGGAGGGGAGGAGCGCAGGAGGTAGTGTCTGAATGAGAGTGGGCCGCATCAATAATCCACAAAAAAGCGATTACAACTGTTACAATCTGCTCAACCTTTATAAATAACAATAAAATCATTAAGGGTTCTCAAGAACTAGGATTCACTTTCATCCACCTACTCACTGTTGCATTCAAAAATATATAGAAGCATTTTAAAAAAATAATCAGAATTAGACTAGTCCCTGAGATTCGACTGAAACCGTCGCGGAGAGTCACTTTATAGATTTGAGAATGGGTGAAAAGTTCGGCCTTTTTTCGGTTTCGGCCGAAAGTCATTTTTAAACTTTCGGTCTTTTTTCGGTTTCGGCAGAAAGTCATTTTAAACTTTCGGCCTATTTTCGGCTTCGGCCGAAATCAGAAAATCACTTTCGGTCGGTCTCTAATGTAAGCAATTTGAATTGATCTGGTGTCAGTAATATGAATAGTTCTTGTGTAAGTAATGTTTCTGTTGATTGTAATTTGCATGCGAACATGACCAAGGCTATATTTGACAGTGAGTATGCTGGTGGCTAGATAGTCCTATTTGTGCCTGGTAAACTTACCAGCATGTAGCACCCACATAACAAAACACTTTTCAAGGCATGAATGTACAGTCTCTGGTATTCCAAATATTTCAATGAATGGAAAGGAAACTGGAATTGACTTTGAAATTTGTTTATTTTTAGTCCCTGATAGATAGACATGACACACTCGTTCTTATTTCCAGAGAACGATGACTTTCCAACACCTACACATCAACTTGTTGGCCATTTCAAGAAGCTGGAGGAAGAAAATGACACACTTAGGAATAAAGTAAATATGGAGTTTGTGTACTTTATTATCTAGCATAGACATCTTCATTCTTTTTTTTTCCCATTCAAATGTGGCAATAATGTTACATAACTGGTGAGTAAATTCATCACAGTCGCTTCCCTTGTCTTTTTAACCCTTGCTTAAAATACAGAACTTTTTTTTCCTCAAGCCAAAAGAATATGAATGCAGAGGTTTTTATTTGAAAATATTCTGACCAAAACTTATGTTTAAAAAAAGTCCCTATTGCATGAGGAAATTTATTACCTTTTAAGCCCGGAGCAGTGACATCATTATTTGTATTCTTAAAGGTGACTGACCTGGAATCAGCTCTTACAGCTTGTAAGTGTAAATTGGCCAAATATGAGACAGAGTTATTGTGCAGAAAGTCTTCAGATTTAATACTCTTTGATGGCAATGTAAGTTTATTTTTAAATCATTTATATTAACTTTGCTTTTGTTCATTGGTGGCTGGCAAAAACTTCGGATGTCTCATTGACCCACCTCCCGTCAAACTATCCAGCCGATGACAACACACTCTATCAAATTTTCAGCCCCAACCCCCAAAAATCAGTTTCGCTGTTTTTCAAGGGGAACATGAAGTAAAATTCTTTTTTTTTTTAAATACCGGTATTGCAAGATTGTTTAGTGCTTAATATTTATTTTGCTTTTCTGAAAAAGTTGATGAAATAAATCTGCAGTGTAAAAGCGGGTGGGTCATTAAAATATTATATAGTTCGGTGCAGTGTCTAATTGGGATTCTTATAAAGTGCCTTGCATGTATGTATGTATGTATGTATGTATGTATGTATGTATGTATTTATGTATGTATGGCACATTTTGTCAAATTTTAAGCCTCACCCTCCATCGCTCAATATTAATTTTATAAAGGATTTATACGAAAAATGTTGTTGATTTATGATTAATTTTCTTTAAAAGATAAATTGAACACGAGTCATGGCTTAGAATAAAATGTAGTAATAGATATATTTCTCTAGGTATATATGGTGCAATGGTGTGTTCAATATGAAGCAAACTAAAATGCCTTATAACTGCTCTAATTAATGCTCTCAGGGTCACTTGATTTGAACTGTTTTCTTTTGTTTTATGGAAATAATATCAATTTAAATATAGTATAATAAAATCTGCGGTATACAAGGGGTTGGGGCATTAGAAATATTAATATAGTCACAGGCGTGATGAAATTGTGAGGTTGGGGGGGGGGNGTAGCACTAATTGAGATTTTTATAAAGTGTTACTTAAATGCATGTTTTGTCAAATAAATTTTGTAGATGGTAAGTTAACGCATTTCGGCTTCCTTTGTTTGGCGGGTGATAGCTAATATTATATAATACTTTCTTGGTGCAATCATAATGGAACAATTTGTACTTGTAAACAACCCATCTGTGATTGTTGTATACAACATAAACTACCAGTATGATGTGTAGTTGAAAAGTCCTCAGCCCATTTTAAGCTTATTCCACAAGAGTGACTTTAGGGTACTTTTGACATGCTCTTCAGCCCACTTGCATAACAATAATATCATTCCGACATATGAAGACTTGCACATATAGGGTATCATTCAAAAAGCTTTTCAATTTTAGGATGTTTCTGGTTGTTGTTTTTGTAAAACTGTATATGACTCAATATAGTAACTTTAGTTTTGGACATTTATAATATAAACCAGTGACTCCCAGCCTGTGGTCTGATCACTGCTCAGGGGCTTTGTGTCCGGTCCAGGAAATAAAATCAATAAAAAAAGATTTGAATGAATCTTGTAAGAAATAAGGTAGGCCTAAGGGACTCCCCCCAAAAGAAATTGATTCTAAAATAGGCGCTCCACTAGTCAAAAAGTTTGTGAATCACTAACATGGACCATACATTTGTCACTCTTCAGGTTCTTCCAACAGTGTTTGCTACAGAGTATGACCTTGAACGGATGAAGCACATATTGTCAGATGGAGAGAAAAAAATCCAAGTAAGCTGCTGCTCATTTACACTTGTTTTTTTGCTTATTCTTTTTGCAACAACCTTTTCCTAACATTGCTTTCTTAAAATTGTTGTTAGTTAACACATCAAATGCCATGAGACCAGACAGTAGCTCTGCGACTTTGTAAAAAAAATTGTGTCCAGAAGGCACTGATGAGACCAAGTGATGTGCTTTTCTTTAATAATATATTATTAAAATACTTGACACAATTCTAAAGCAGTTTTTAAGGCTTTTTTAAAAGTGTTAGCAAGCATTATTTGCCTATTGATATAGAGGTGAGATTTTTCTAACCTTGGATGCTTGCTAATGCCTTTGCACCATCTGGGGCTTTGGCCATCTACAAGAATTTTCGGTCCTGTGCTTTCCTTTCCATTTCCAGTTGTATCCCATACTTTGTGTGTCTGCATCTAGTTGGCATCTCCATGTATTTTTGCTGTGGATTTCATGTTAGGTATTATCTGGTGATGTTATCTAGGGGTTTACAAAGAGTGTGCTCTATCCACCTTCATCTTTCCTTTTGATGTCTCCAGCTTTAGGCTCCTGGTATGTCCTTTCCAGTAAGTCTTTGTTGGTGATGGTGTTTAGCCATTTGATGCTCAGGATCTTTCTAAGGCAAGTGTTTATGAAGGTCTGTACTTACTGCATAATGCTCCATGTCTTTCTTCAAGTTCAGCTTCATAGGTTAGGACTGTTTAGACCAGGGTCTCAAACTCCCAGCCCATGCTTACGATATTTTGCGGCCCGCTACTCGACAAAAAAATTTTGTGTACTTCCAAGCCACACGTTTTCCCCATTCTCATATCTATAATGTAACCCTCAGCGACAGTTTCAGTTGAATCTCAGCAACTAGTCTGATTCTGATTTGCATTATATTTGTATAGGTTTGGACATTGATTATAATGGTAAAAAACGTTTTAAAATCGGGCTTAAGGATTTCATTTTATAGCATGTTATGAGACAAACATGGCCAAAGTGTGGTTTTGAGAAAACATGCTTTGAATATTGTATATACATATATCAAAAGTTTAAAAAGGAAGTTAGTGGGTAATGCAGAACCATAATTGTGTAAATTGTAGCAATCTGACACAGTATCAAAGAATGCCCATTAAAATTGCTGCTCGTATGTAAGAGTGATGAGTGAGGGAAATTCCGAGCATGTCAGCTTGGTCATTTTCAAAATAGGGTTAGTCAAAAAGGCCTTTTTCGACCATAAAAAGAATCAAAACTCATTCTCCTTAAAATAGCATCTTTCATCGCATCAATAATTCATTAATATTGCCTGGTCCTGCCTTCTGTTTGAACACATTTTAGTTTTAAAATCGCCAGTGGGCATCACCATATTTTTATTTTCTTCTTACCAGAAGCTCATTATTTTCATAGCATTTATTAGTTGAATACTTTTATTTTAGGTCACCGGGAATTTTATTTTATTACTAAGGATATAATGCCGTTAACAATGATACGCAATGTGACTGCCTAGATTGAGATATGAATTTATTTGTAATTAACAAAGGTTGCGCTGATTTTAACAGTTGTACTTTATTTAATTTGTAATCGCTTTTTTGTGGAATACTTGTTGTGGCCCAGCCTCACTCAGACTCTGCCTCCTGCCGCCCCCAAATAATTTGAGTTTGAGACCCCTGGTTTAGACATTTGTGTTGAAAATTCTGACTTTGGTTTGAAGAGTCGGCTCCTTTGACACCCACATTTTCTTTAATAGCACAAATGCTGACCTCGCCTTTCCAATTCTGGCCCTGACAGCCGCTTCCGATCCACCATTTATTTCAAAAGTGCTGCCTAAGTATGTGAAGGCCTCCATTTCTTCCAGTGCATTTCCTGCCAGAGAGATATGGTCTTGATTGGCTGAGTATACCTTCCTGATCTTTGTCTTGCTTTTATTTATATTGAGTCCCAGCTGTGCTGAAATGGTGTACCACCCTGCATGTCATTTCTTCATAAGAATTCTGGATAATCCTGACTAGTTTCCTGGTATCCCATAATGCAGGAGAAGTTTCCACCAGATTTGTTGTCCAGGCTGTAATCAAAGGCCTTTTCGTAGTCAATAAAATTTATTCATGGGGGGATTTCCATTCAATGGACTTCTCTACAATGATTCATAGTGTTGCAATTTGATCTCTGCATGATCTGTTTTGGGGGAAGCCAGCCTGTTGATCTCGTAGCTGCCTGTGGACCTGGTCCTTTATTCTATTTAGAAAAATTCTGTTAAAGACCTTTCCTGGTGCAGACAGCAGTGTAATTGGACTAGTTTGCACAGTTGTTGAGGTCCCCTTTATTTGGTACCTTGACACGCTATCCTTTTTTCCAATCTTTTGGAGCTTTCTCTTCTTCCCATATCCTTCAAACAGAGGGTCAGCATGTAAACTATTGTATCTATATCTGCCCTCATCATCTCAGCTGTAATGTTATCGGGTCCCATTGCTTTCCCTATTTTGAGCTGCTTGATACCCAGGGCTATTTCTTCCTTATTTGGGGAACTGTCTTCCATTTGTAAATCTTCATTTGCTGGTTTTATATCTGGTGAGTCCTTGGGTGGACGTCTCTTTAGAAACTCCTTATGTATTCCATCCATCTTTTTTGTCATTCTTTCCGTTCCGTTATTGATCATCCTTCCTTGTCTTTAACAGGTCTCTCTGGCCTCTTGTAGCTTCCTTCTTGTTATGTCCTAGAGCTCTATCATGTTCCCCTTTCTTGTTGCTTCTTCTGCTGTAGACGCGAGACCTTCTGTGTAAGTTCTTTTATCCTTTTTGATTCTGTTCTTTACCCTTTCGATTTGCTTCTTCATATTCCTCTTTGTGCTTTTGTTTTCTTTGCCCTGGTGCGGCTGTTGTCAACTTCACACTTCATTTCTTTCCTCTCTTTTATTCGTTGCAACGTGTTGAGTGAGAACCAATATTTCTATTTTTGCTTTACTTGTCCCTGGTACCTCATTGCATGTCGTTGCATGTCGATGTTACAGACATCTTTATGTTTTGCCATTGAATTTCTATCTGGTCACCATCTGTTTGGTCTTGCAGTACCTGGATCTTTTTTCTCAAGGTAACACTGAATTCCTGTGGATTCGAGCAGAAACATTTGATGAGTAACAGAAAATTGGTAAAAGCTGAACGGTTGCTAATTCCAATATTTTTGTTTACACACACCTTAGAGCAGGTGTCGGGAACCTTTTTGTCTGAGAGAGCCATGGACATTACATATTTTGAAAAGTAATACTGTGAGAGCCATACATTATGTTTAAGACTAAAAATTCAAACAAAAACGTTTGCATTTTGTGTTATTTCAACACTAATAATGCCATAATTATGTCTCTGAATTCTTTTTAATAACATTGTTATGCTGTTGCTAATCAATAATGAGTATTTCTAACCATTAATGCGACTTTTTTTTATATAATCAAGCCATAGGTTCCCGACCCCTGCCTTAGAACATGTGGTATCAAACAGATGCCTTTCTGCATCCACCTCCAATAAAAATAACATCCAATATTAATTTCCCTTCAGCTTTTTAACAATATGTTACATTTAATTTATTGTTAAAGAGTTTATATCATTTCTTGATTAATTTATGTTTTTTATGTTTTCATGTTCAGCGGATAGAAATGGAGAAAGATAGTCTCGAAAAACAACTGAACAAAAGTGAAGGTAAAATTATTTTGTTCCTTTTACACTTAGGAGGGTTCTTGTTGGGAGAGGGGTGGGGGGGTCAGTGCTAAAATCTAGAATTGTCTTATAAATTGAATTGCAATGTTTTATAATTGGAGGAGGTGATTTTACATTAACAGAAAAAACTGATTTTAAAAAAAAAAAACATTTCCAGTCTTACTAATCTCTATCTAATAAATTTCCCTTCAAAGAAATTTCCTTTCAAAAAACATTCCTTGGAACAAATTACTTAACATAAAATTTAAATTGTTTTTGAACACATTTCCGGAAAGGCCATTGATATTTTCATTGTAAAACTTGCAATGTATTTGCAAGCTCTTTAACTAAAAACTGTTCAATTCAATAGATTTCAATAATTCTACCTAAAACTAAATGTATGCATGTTAAATAAACTGTAGCAAACAGAATTGCAGAGGAAAGACAACTCAGAATAGAGATCAGGCAACTCAAGTATCAGCTTCTCACTCTTGAAATAGAATTATCCAATGAACAGGCCAAGCACACTGAACTATTGGACGACACAATACCAGTAAGTGAAACAATCATTTCTATGCCAAACATTTAGAGAACCATTTTATGCTTTGTCCAATATGAAAAGAGTGTGGTTGGAAAAGGTTAAGGGGGGGGGGGGGGTGAAATTAGATAAAATTGAAATGTTTTTAATGTTTAAAAAATTATCTCAAATTTGATTAGCAAAAAAAAAAAAGACTTTTGGAAGTTTTAACAGTGCTGAGCTATTAAGTTATTATATTTTATTACAGATATAGAAGTAGGGAGTTGTTACGTGAACACTGATGGTGAGGTCATTCTTGTCTATTTTCAGGTGATGATCATGGCCAGTCAGAAAAAGCCCCAACGCGTAGAGACAGACATGATTCAGATCATACATGACAAGCTTAGGGCGGTTTCTGAGACCCTCATTCACACAAGGCAGCAAGTCAAAAACTATAAAGAGGTGTTTGACGCACTGATGAGGAGCTCTTCCTTACAGGTCAAATGCTTTGTTCACTACTTCACTATAGGCACTAGCAAAGCCAGTTCTGTGTTCTGGTTTTATTAAACTTGTGAATCTATGACACGCAAGGCTGACTTAACCCTAACCCTTGATATGTAACAAGGAATCACGATGTTTTTAATTATAAATATATGGAACAAAGTTTTTTAGCTCAAACCACCATTTTGTTTTAAATTCCATAATAAGCATATCTAACCATTGATGACATTGGCCTCTATGTCATTTAAATACTGCCAAACAATTTCCCTCTGTGGTTTGGAGTATGGTAATAAGGGGCAGAGACTGCAATCAGCAAAAAAGTAAATGAGTGAAACTATGAATGGGAAAACCTGAAAAAAGGAACGTAACAAAACAACGAGCGCGTCGGCAAGAAGCGTTCATCAGCGAACAAACAACAGTAAAAAGATAATAAATTTTTTAAATCCTCTTGGTTACTACATTTCAGCTAAGTGTTATTTTTGTTTCATTTGTATGTTTTCCTTAGATTCAAGAGGCCATAAAAACAACTGATGAGAAAAATAAGGAACTGGTCATGAAGTACTCAAGAGAAATAAAGCTCCGCAAGTTGTACCACAACCAGCTGGTTGAGCTAAGAGGTCAGTGTCTTTTAATAAAGTTTACTGCAGTAAAGAGTTGGCAGGCGGGCTGTCAAACTTAAAGTCAGTCACATGGTGACAATGTTACTGTTTGTGCCACTGGTTGTGTCACACTTAAAAAATTTGTTTAATGTGGCATTAGTGGTAATCCAAGCATGGAAAGGAAAAACATTAGTTAGGTCTAAGTGGCAGGAAGTAGTGAGGCAGGCTAAATCCCTACTTGGGCTGTAGCGCCACAGGGATGGATGGATGGCCTTAGTGGAAGTTAAGAATCATACACAGTGCTCTGGGTGAAGAATCTATCAATTCAATGTAATCCTTGAAGCAGGTCGGTGTGTACATTTTATTGGTCAGCTTTTAAGGATAAACCTAGAATTTCATGAAACATTTAAATAAGTATACCCTATTCTTTCCTATACTCCACACCCCCTATGAATTTTACATTGTTTTACTAACTCTAGCGCCCTACAAAAGTAACAATGCATTTTATTATTTTAAAGGATGTGGGAATGATCACATAATTTTCTTCATTGAATTGCAAAGACAACTGAACATTTGTGACTTACTGCATAAAAGAAAATATTCATAAATTTGTTTTTTAAATATATACAAATTTATATCCACTTTAAAAGCTGCTCTTATATTCACTTTTCCCTCAAACCCCCAGAAATGCCCCACCCCACTCTTCCCGGGTTGCAAGCACCCCATATTGGGTAGCCCTTATTTAAATTATCAATTCAGCTTTTTTTTTTCTTTTTTTTTTCCTAAACATGAAAAACTTTATTAATGCACTTCTCCAGGTAACATTCGTGTTTACTGTCGTGTAAGACCTTGCATCAAAGAGGATTGCCAGACGGTGTCAATCATAAACACAGACACTTATGATGATGGCCTCATCTTCATCAACACAAAGGCTGGCAAGAGTCAACAGTTCCAGTTGGATAAGGTGTTTAATATGGACATATCCCAGAGTCAAGTACGTTAAAAGACCTTAATTTCCTCATTATTTTTAGGACTTTAATATCCCTTATCCAGGTATGTTTAAGATTTCAATATCTCATATCCAGGTTTTGTTTAAGGCTTTAATATCCCATACCCAGGTATGTTTAGGACCAGTATATCCCATATCCAGGCAAATGTTGAGGATCTTCTTACATATTCATTTGAATAACCTGTTTTGTGTTTTGTTCTCATCGTTGATCAGATATTTGAAGAAGTTTCCTCCTTGGTTAGATCCACCATCGATGGCTTCAATGTTTGTATTTTTGCATATGGACAGACAGGCTCTGGTAAAACTTACACCATGGAGGTAAGTTATTTTTCATATCTATAAACTAAGGTTTCTGTTTGGTTTTTGTTTGCTCCCACACCCCTTATGATTTGTAATTGAACTTAAACCCTTAGATTGTTCTTATGAATCCATACGACACAAAAGATTTGATTTAAAAAAGGACGAAATTGTTAAGTACCTTTATGGTTTGAAAATTTAATCTTTTTTAAGATTTGGCTCGTAGAATGAACAATGCGTAACAAAATACTGAAAGTCATTATACAAAGAAAAATTATACCAAAATTAGTGATACTAATAATATTAAATTTAATTATACTATTGAATTGCTTTAAAAATATCAATTCAAATATACAGAAACAAAAATAACTATCAACTTACAGCACAGCGAGTGAAAAGGTGCACGCCTCGAAAAGTACAAATATTAATACAATACACACACATAAATAGTACAATATTGGAATTCTATAAAGTCTCATATTTGTTAGGAAGTGTAGCAAAAATCTCTCGGCTAAGAAATCAGCCCACATCAACTTTAGATCAACACCCTCTAATACATAAATTATAGAAATTGCGTCATCTACTAGCATTCTCCAGAACAAATAGAACATATGTGAAGGTAAAAAACCTTTGCCCAATCAAGAAAGTGGCGGGTAAAAGGGAGTGGCACAGTGCTACACATTTAATAGCTGACATCAATATTAAAACAAAGGGGAGACAAGTGGTGGTCGCTAAAATAATGCCTACACGTATGCCATAACAAAATAAATACTGTTTGTGATATCTTTTAATTTTATGTGATACAATATATTATTATTATTGTTTCAGCATTTTAAACATATTAAGCCTGAAATATATTATTAGAGTCTTAGGTTAGAAATAATTTTTTTGCAAACACATGTTTATAACACAATGTATCACAGTATGGGGCACAGGGACGCCAGCGTGAAACTTAGGAGACAGCTGATTATGTAACATGATGTGTTGATTTGTAAATCTGTTACAAAGTTCTATATCTGTAATGGAAAATTTTTAAAAAAATTTAAAACACACCACCAGGTTGGTTTATTTTAAGGCTATCACTCATAAAATTACTTTTCTTATAACCAGCTTCACTAATGTTATAATATGTCTTCATAATCTGCATCACTCTGCATATCTCTCTGTTAACTCCTGTTTAGGGCCCATCCAGCGACCCAGGAGTCAACCAGCGAGCGCTTAAATTCCTCTACGAGGAAACAAAGAACTCCTCCTGGCATTACACTATTGCTGCCAGCATGCTGGAAATATACAATGAATCCATCAGGTGAGACAATGTGGAAAGTACTAGCATATTTTGTTTCTCATTTTCATTACAGTAATCATCTTTGTACTCCATGTATTTTAGTGAAATATATATTTTTTTTTATTAATTATCTGTTGTTAACATTATCCAATTCTTTAAAAAATATTTGCTAAGACTACCTTGTTATGTCCAAGTTTTCTTTCACTTATTTATATGAGACATATTCTGTAAATCTGTATGGAAATATTTGTCTTGGTTTGTTTTTTTTGTCTGCCTTTGGTATTTTAACTTTTGTTTGTTTTTGTGGATTGATTCAGTGAGCACTTATTCCATTGAAATTCAAATACTGAATTGGAGGATTGAATTAGTTTTACTGTGTGTTGAGCTATCTTTTGTTTTCATAAGAAGTTTTCATTGCCATGAGTGCAATATTTAGCTTAAACCAGAAGCAGCAGAAATCTTTCAAGTTTAGTGACACAAGCTGTTTTGTGTTGATATTGATATTTTTAAAAAGTATTTTCACATTTGATAAGTTTGAATTTTGGAAATTTCAAGAATTTTTTGTTTTATCACATTGGCCTCTTTCTATGTTTTAAAAAAAAAATATAGCTCCGCACTGTTTGGAAATTATTCCTTCCTGATTAAACAAAGACTTTTTTGTAACATTATATTTAATGACATTAATGCTATAAATATGACTGATGGAAACAATGCAGCAAGATCCATGTCAGTTGTATTATTGTGACTGCTTTTTACCAATGTTCTTACTTAAACTCTATAAACATTTCACAGGGATTTGCTGAACCCAGATCCTCAGGCAGAGAAACTTGAGGTGAAGATGAAGCCAGAAGGTGGGCTGCACGTTCCTGGTCTTGTCATGGTGCCAGTACAGTCCCTTGAGGAGGTCAATAAGGTAGGAATATTTTTACACTACCAATCACTTATTCTTAAAATATTTTTGCTGAGTGAGTCTCACCGTGATACAAAGTAGGGTTGCACATTATCAGAAAGGCAGATCACTGATTAATAGGGCTGAGATAATCAGCCAGTGTCGAGATAATCAGCCAGTGTCAAGATAATCTGACGCAGATTAGCTATTATTTATTTGGCTTTGCGATTGAAACACTTATTGAAATAGGTTGTACAGGTAAAGGCCTACATAGAGTTTTGGAATACCTGAACACCCTCTTGAACTATTCCACAAAAGTATTGTTATATTTGAATGCTCAACAGATCTTTGAAACAGGTCGCAAGAACAGGTCCACAGCTGCGACAAGTATGAATGAAAGGTCATCCAGGTCCCACAGCCTACTGTGCGTGACAGTTGAAGGGTTGAACCTCCTGACAGGCAACAAAACTCATGGTCAGTCTGTATTGCCTCACATTTTTTTTTTTTCCTTCTATTCTGGGGCTAAGATTCCATTTTAATTTAGTTAAACTTTAGGTAGTTTTTTTTTTTTTTTAAGGGAAAGTATGTATGCTCTTGATCAGATAGTGAAGCCTACAGCTAATTTAATACAAAGAAGTAATTTAAAACATTTTTTATAAAATAATTTTAAAAACTTGAGTGTGTTATTAAATGGTGTCATAAGTATTTTTAAATAAGGGATTTTTTTATGTTCCAATGAACCTGTATGTGTTATGTTTACTTCAAAAAGAAGGCTCATGTGTCTAAATAATTTAGCTTCATAAGTTGTTGGGGGGGGGTTTTTGTACCAGGTACATATGGTAACTGTTCAGGTCAGCCAATAAATTACAACTTTGGTATTAGATTTACAACAGACGTTATAATTTGAGCTTGCAAAAAAAATCGATGACAAGGAATAATTTTTTAGAAATAAATTTTACAGGCTTTTTTTTTTTAATTGCACCGTAACGCTAAAAGCAGTATTAACATTTCTTGACAGCTAATCAAACATTTTTTTACAGGAAACTTGTTATTTTAGATCTACTTAATTTTGAGACATTCCCTTTTTAATGTATATCCAATATAAGAATTCAGTGAATTGTATATTTTTTTTGTAAGGCCTATAAAAGATTTTAAAATAAATATATTAAGCCTCACTTTTTTTTTATTCAAAGCAATTTTAGCTCTTATTAATATTGAACTAAACTTTTTAATCAAGGTCGCCTTAATCTGGTTGACCTAGCAGGATCAGAGAGGGTCAGCAAGTCACATGCAGATGGGGCCAGGTTGAAGGAAGCTCAGAGTATAAACAAGTAAGTTTATATAAGTGATTAGGTGAGTAGTTGATGACAGCATTTAGGTCAGTAGTTGATGACAGGGATTAACTTTCTGCAGTTTGACGCTTTTTTTCAATTTTGTTAAAAATCTTAAGGTGATTTTTAAAAATAATTAATTAACTCATCTGAAATAGCTATGATCTGATCAGTTATATATATTAACTTGTTCATCTTTGACTCAGCTATCATTGTATATTTTTTGTATATTTTATTTTATTAGGTATAAAAAAAATTAAAATATTATTTGACAAATTTTTTTTTTCATTTTATGCAAAATTTTCACACAGAATTGAAAATTGGCCTCATAACTTATAGATTGGTATATTAAATATATTTCTTGATAATTCTTGAGTTAAAGATAACTAAGTAAAATTTGATGATTTATATAAATAACTCAAAACAAGAGTCAATGTTATTTCTTTAAATGTTAACATACTGGTATTCCCTGAGGTTAAAGTTAATAAAAATTAAAATGATTCAGCACAAAACTGCTAATTTTGATATTAATGCCCAATATGATCCATTCCCCATTAATCTGATCTATTTTTTCCTATTTACCAGTAATTTTGATATATCTTTGTTATAATCCTCACATAACACAGGCCGATATAGTACAGCAATCCTTAATTATATTTATGGATACTGAACAAATATTATTTCTTTAAACAGTGTGCAGTTTTATTATAATAATTATAATTGATAAATAAGAGCTTGTCTTGGACTTTATTTCCACATAGGTAACATTTTTCACCACATAACATTCACTCAATAAAGAACCTGTGAATAAAAATTTTATTGATTCATAAATAAAATTAACACTAATGGTACCAGTAATGGTATGCTATCAGTCAGGGAAAAAATACCATTAATCTTTGTCCAAATGCCTAAATTAGTATTAAAGTAAACCATTGTGCATAGGAAATACATCATAACATACGTTATAACAATATTGTGAGTTATTCTTTATGTATTTTGCTACCAAGTGATTAGATTAAAACTTACCACCAATTGTTTTTAGTGTAAAATCTTCAAAGATATTCATCCAGGAACTCTGTAGCACAGTAAAAGGGTGGAGTCCTGGCTTAATATTTAGGATAAATAAGGAATAAGGGCTTCTTGATCCAATATCTGCATTTTTGTCTCTCTATCCTCCTTCCCATTAAAAAGTCAATGAGGTTTTTTTTTTATTCTGTCGTGTAGTCTCTACTTATACTAGTGACTAGCGATAATGATAATTAAATATAAACACATTTCTACCAAATAATGTTAGAAAATTTAGAAGATAATTCATGGCTGTAACATATTTAAAGCAAATATATTTAGTTAATAACTCATAATTCATTAACTTTAAATTTATTTTATTTACGCAAGTTCCCATCGGCCGGAGTTTTCTGCTATTTTTAGAAAATATTTATCTCGCATAGCAACGCTCTTTATTTATTATAAAATTATTGAAACTCAAGAAAATTCAAATAGAAATATCAATATCAGTATAAATGGATAATATATACTTAAGGCAATTAAAATTGTAAAAATATCACTTTATTGTTTTATTATGAATTTTATAGTCGGGAAATTATAATTAAAATTAAGCTTACTTGTTAAGATAGCATTAGTCTGTACTTTTATAGGCAAATTGGGATAAATTCTATGATTAGAGTCTCAGTTTGGGTGCATTTCTTTAGAAGAACAAATAACTCCCTTATAAATCGGGAAATTAAAATCATTTGACCATATTCATACTTATAATTAATTTTTTTGTGACACTTATAGTATTTTGTTTTTTTTTTGTGGAAATCTGGGAAGCTTTCATGTGGTGCTCCACGCTGAATAAATTTGATATTTAATTTAATAAATTTAATTTTAATATTTTTACAAATACTTAAACCAATGAAACAAATTATTAAAATATAATAAATAATTTTTTTTAATTAAAAATTTAAGTTAAAAAATAAATAACCCACCCACAAAATCTATGGTACTCATAAGTACTATATCTCTATAGTCGGACTGCAGAAAGTTAAGTCAGTGTAAAATGTAAAAGGGACTGTCAAATATTTCGTTGTCTACTTGTCTTTTGATGCTGGCGACTATTTTGATGGCATGTACTCCTTAGTCATACCACGGACAGTTCGATTAAAACGACACTAAAAGGTTTATGGTACATAGTGGGTTTTATTTTGACAGCACTAAACATCAACTTGGTTCACATTGAAGTTGAGACATGAATTCATATGCAGAACAATATTCTCCTTAGGCAAAAATCCCACAGCTAATCTATCTAAAAATACTATCCCCTCTGTTGCTTGCTCCATCTCACACACTGACTCTCTAGATCCCTAGTTCACTCTACGCTCAAAATCGTTGTCACCCCTCTTATCACCCAAAATTCATGCGTCACCGTCCTTGACTTGAAAACAGTTCACACTCTTTCACATAACCCAATCGTCGCAACATCACAACACACACATTACCACTGATTTCATGATCTTGACAGGGACTGCTTGCCCATGATGGGGTTGAAATGGCTAGAAAGACTTTGCAATTGTATGCTAGTAATTAGTTTTTGTAGTGTTGCGTTTGTTTTAAATGTGGTAAATTATAGATTTAAAGATAACTGATCTGTTAAAAACTGGCCATTTATGGTCATTCATTCCAGAAAAAAAACTTTAAATGTGGTAAATTATAGATTTGTATTTTGTTGACTTTGTACCGCGCTTCGAGCCTTTGGGGATGAAGCGTGTTTTTGAAATGAACTTTATTATTATTATTATTATTATTATTATGATAGCTTCAGGGGATGAACTCTCACATCAATTTTGCTATCTACTTTGGGCAAAGGTGCATTACATCCTTCTGATTATGGTTAGGCCCTCTACCTGTACAACCAACCTAATTTATGTGGCTCACATTGAAAAATCAATTACATTTATAGTGATAAACTTATTTTCTATAAACCTGCAAATAAATTGTTTGGATGGATGTAATAAATTTATGGCTCACTGTTGGCTGAATATGTCCTTGTCCAGTCCGAAGTCAGTAATCTTGCTGGCAAACATGGTCATAGAACCAAAACAAACACAGCCATAGAACAAACAAACAAAAAAAATTAATAATAACATTATCATTAAACTAGAAGCATTTTCATATTATTAATGGCACTGTTAGAAGCTGTTTAGATTTTTCATTAAATTTGATCACATTTACCCTTATTTTTTTGTTGACAGGTCACTGTCCTCTCTTGGTGATGTTATCTCAGCCTTAAAGAACAAGCATTCCCATATACCTTACCGCAACTCAAAGCTGACTTACTTGCTGCAAGAGTCTTTGGGTATGATACTGTACTAATCATTACCACATTAACCTCTTGCTTTTACCTTATATAAATTGTGTAGCTTACATTATAAGTAAATGGTGAAATTTGTTGAATCATCTTACCATACAGCAAGATAATCAAAGCAAAATTTGGTCTGCCTTTGCTTTTGCAATCTCTTCTAGTTATTAGTTTCCTCTCTCAAATTATTGCTTGATCAGAATTAGTTTATACAGCTTGTTTTTATTTGCCTTATAATTGAAATTTAAAAAGTAATGTTTCAATGTCTGAAATTTTAAAAAATTTAATGAGACATTATGTTAAAAACTGGTTATAAGAGGGCTGGACTGCGATAAAGCTTTTAAGTAGATTGATGAGACACAACTTATGTGGATAAAATGGTATACGGGCTTTAATTATCATTTGACAACATACAAATTTTAACATTTAGGCCAATGTCTTAAACATTACAACAAAAAGCATTAATTTAAATTAAATTTTACTGAATATATTTATATACGACCTATTCTTTTTTTAGAAAATGAAAGGAAAGAAAAGAAAAACGATGGGCAAAGTCCCTCTTGAAAAAAAAGATAACTGATCTGTTAAAAACTGGCCATTTATGGTCATTCATTCCAGAAAAAAAACTATAATTCAAGCCCAGGTGCCTTTGCACTTCTCACTTCGTTTGGTTCATTTATAACAATTACACTGTAAGTGTCCTTTATAATTCACCACATTGATTCTTGACTCCAGGGGGTGATAGTAAGACGCTGATGATCCTTCAGGTTTCTCCTGTGGAGAAGAATGTCAGTGAAACCGTCTGTACTTTGAGCTTTGGCCAGAGGGTCAGGTCTGCTGAGCTGGGAGCAGCAACAAGAAAGTTGGAAGAGGGGAAGGTGAGAAAACTATGGAAGAGCATTTCCTGCACTAGATAATATCAGGGTTGTGGAATCCTGAGTGATAAACCCATTTTTTTACCCTCAGATTCTATATTAAAAATTCTCATTTAAAAGTTCCTTCATTCAATTTTATGTACATAATAAATTTTTAAAAATAAATTATTAGAGAAAAAATTCACCATGATGTCTTGACTTTTCCCATTCCCTGCTCCTGTTGTTAAAAAAATAATCTGACCTCAGTCTTGAGTACAGATGTTGAGGTGTGCAATTTTTTATTATAAACTAAAATTATAAATCAGCAATATATTAGAAAGCCTATACAAGAGATAAAATGTGATCAAATGATATATTAATGTAGAAAATGCTCTTCCTCAAATTTCAAGAATATTTCACTGTTTTTTTTTTTTTTTTTTTTTTTTTTTTTTTTTTTTTTTTTTTTTTTTTTTTTTTTTTTTTTTTTTTTTTTTTTCACAAATTAAATTTATAGAAATGTCCTGAAACTGGTACAAGAAAAAAGTTCAAATGTCTTGAACATTGATTAAGCAGTAGAATGTTTATATTTTACTGAAAACTCCAAAAATATTAGTACAATAGTTTATAAATAACACTTAATTTAATATACTTTAAAGCAACACAAGCAACAAACTTAAAATTTTGCGTTCACCTCTAGTCTTTTATGTCCATTCAAGTTCTGAGAGTCACATCTTGTTTAAAAGACCTTATCTACAAATAAATGAGACTGGTCTTTCCTAATTGAAACCCTTAAATAAAAATGCAATTTAAAGTTTTGGAAGCTTTGATAAACTTATTTAAAATGAATTGGCTGGGCTCTTGGTAGTTGAGTTTTGTTATCACTCTGAGACAATATGTTTTGACAGGTGCCCATGTACAGAGTAGGTGAATGGAGACTACCTTTAACAAGGGTGAGATATAGTCAGTAGAGGCTCACCTGTTATTCCAACAAATTTTGAAAGGGAATATTTAAATGTTTTTATCGTTCCAGTGAAGAATTGAATTGTAAATTTCAAATTCTTTTCCTTGGGCAGTAACTGTATTAAAATTAACAAAATAACAAATTAACATAATCAATTATGTACATATGTTTAACCAATTAACCATGTTATTTTGGAATTGATTGAGAAGAGTATGCAATAGTAATTTGTTAATTTGCAAAATTCTTTCTACAACCATTTCTATATTTGGTTTAAAAGTAAAACTAAATTATGTTTCTATGTTCTCATTAAATGCTGGATTGTGGAGTGGATAATTCATGGCATGAGAAGTAACAGTTGCTCCAATAATAGCTTTAAAATTAAGAAATAAAAAAAGAAGTATCTAATTTAATCAAACAAGAATTTGAAAAACTAATATTACTTCAAATATAAAAATAATTAAATGAGGATAACAGCAAAGATTATTACCATGACACTGGAGCAACAAAATTTTAAAATGAGATTATGTAAGTAACTTTCATCTGCAAAGTAACAATGCTGACACGTAGAATAGAATATTATTAAGTTGTGCCACCCTCTGGAAATAAATAACAAAACGTTTTTACTGAAATAAAGGTTGTGTTTAATGATGGCTGAACAGATATTTGAATTGAATATCACCCAGCAGCATGCATGCACTTGAGTTTTTCCTCTTCTACATTACATTTTGTTCTCTCTACAGAACACACCAGCAAGTTCCAGGCGTCCAAACAATGAAACACCAAAGTTGCAAACACCTGTCACACCGTCCAACAACACACCAACTGTTCAAAAGGGATCTGCTGTGCCGTCCAAACTCATGCAGAAACTGAAATGAAAAAATGAACTTATTAAATTTTAAATCAGAGTTTCAATGAATGTTGTTCGGAAATATAAATTACAACATCTTTAAGTGTTAAAATTCTCACTTGAACACATAAATATATATCTGATAAAATTAAGTAATAAACTATATTGCTATCCATGGATAGATGTCACCAGAAACTGTACCTTTGCTGCCTAAAAGATGTCAATTTAATTAGCCATTAAATGTAATCTAATAAAAATTTAGTTATTTCATTTGATGTTTTTGTAGATTTTTAAGGATATATCTTACCTCAAACATAAATCAATATTCTAGTATAAAAACAAGGAAACCAAATAAGGCACACACAAAATTTTTAAGCTGCAGTACTTTTATTTGTTAAATATTTACTTAATTTTGTGAATGTTATACATTATGTTGATATTAAGTTAATTAAGTTAAATACAATGTGATTGTGGGGGTAATGATTTTTTTATAGCAATTTAAAGTTACACTGAAAATATTATATATTGCAATAAATAAAAAATTTCAGATAATAAGTTTATTGATGACACAATCATATGCGTTTAGAAATTTATAGTGATGATATATATGTAGTGTGTGTTATAGTAGTTTCCAACCATTTTATTTGAGTAAACAAATCATGACCTCATATTTAAAAGTACTCATGGAATAGTCAATATCTCTTTTTTAAGATTATTTTTGGAGCAAAAATTGTAAATTAATTAAAAGGATTCAAAGAATATGTTCAAACTACCAGTACACAAGAATGTGATTATTATAATAAGTCTGCATGAAGTTAAATATCTGACTTTGAGTTTTAAAAAGAAAATCATCCCAATGTTTAAGGCCAGGTTGTGAGCCAAATTAGCTGTCTAGATATTTTCATATTTCTCATTGTTTATCTCTTCATTTTCTCTTTTTTTTTCTTATGGCTTTTTATTTTTCTCCTAATGAGCATAATTTAAATTAATTTATGATATTTTGAGGACTCAAAATTCCATATGATAATGATAGTCTCTGAATTTTTTAATCTAGTTATAATGATACGTATTTTCACATGGATCACATATAAAATGTATTGATATGAAATTACTTTACAGTTACATAGCAATCAACATGGATTATTACTTTATCAAAATATCATACGTTCTGATTGTGCTTTATGCTTTTCATGTTACGTTTAAAATGGAAGTTGATATTAAATATCAATTGTTCTTGGAAATCATTGTTTCTGTTCAGTTTTTTTTATATTATAGATGTTTATATCATGTAGACACTTCATTGATAGAGACATATTTACTTTCTTTCATACTTCTTTATTAAGTGTGTCAGCTGTGTTTCATTCATGTTCAAGGCAACCATGAGCAATGCCAGATTACTTAAGAACCTCAACAGGATAAACTTCCCCACTGACACAACCCTCTTTCCAAAAATAAACAAATAATAACACATTTTTATTTATTCAATAGAGGAAATAACACCAAAATAAATTTTGTGGTCTGTTATTAAGGGACGGTGCATATATTGTACATGAAGGGGGTAGTGGGGATTATCATTATGTTATACGGGGTGGGTTTGGGGATGGCAGAGAGCAATGTTATTTTTTTTTTTTAATTATTTTCTTTTAATTTTATTATTTTGCAAAATTTCTGCTTTTTATATTTATTAAATTAGCCTAGATTATTAAAAACTACATTTTGTAAAACAAATATTGTCTTTTTGCATGAAATTTGCATGTTTTTTGAACATTCGGTTTTTATCAGAGTTGGGGTGGGGGTCGTCTAGAAATATTATATAAAATAATGAATGGGGGGTGTCAATGATGGAAAGTTATGTAATGTTATATGGGGTAGGGATGGGTAAAAATGTCATCATATTTTGTATTGTATAATGTGTAAGGCTCCTTAAGCCATGGTGCAAATGTATAGAACTACCCTGAGAAATAGTTTCAATAAAATAGAGCAAGGTATTTACACAAGAGCTAAGGCATACAATTTATCAGGAAATATATAAAGCATATAACACTGGATACAAAGTTTTAGTAAGGGACCATTTTTTAACCTTTCAAAAATGACTGCACTTCAATTTAATTTGAAGGAATTGTTTAAAAAGGGAAATCGTAAATTAATATAAAACACCAAATTAATATATATATTTATTTATACACATATATGTGCATAAGTTGGTATTAAAGGAAGCATTGCTTAATGTGGTATAGGCAATGTTATATTATGAATATGTATTTGTAATTTTATGATACATTTAAAATTAAAGTAGCCTTCGAAATGAATCTACACTACACAATAAAGTAAAAGAAACTGATTACCAATGTAAGTTATATTTATTTTTTTTCTCATTGTAAATAATGATTAATGGGCAGACGCATACATCAGTAATAAAATTTGGATTTGTGGTTAAGATGAAATCTTAATTTAATAATGAAGGCATACAATAAATAAAAAGGGATCATCGTTTTTTTATTTATTTATTGACTCCGAGTTTATGTTTACTTACAGATAGACAATTTTGTATAAACAAACAATGGCGGACGACACGGTAGTTTTCTTCCACAAAGACCTTCCTATGACTGCATTTCCAACTATTGCAGATATAAGAAGGCAAGGACAGCTTTGCGATGTGACATTAAAGGTTAAGTATGCACGTTTTCAAATGATATAGGCCCCAATGTAAGCTTAATCTTTTCAAATGTAGAAAATTCCATGTAGCACTTGTAATCATTGAAATATCCTCATCAGCTCCAGGCAAAGAAACATTGCAAATCCCCTCTACATGCATAGGAGCCAAAATGATCAATAAATTGATCGTGGGCCCTTAATATATAGAAGAAGAAGATGTGTAGACTTCTGATGATACTCAGATAGTGATAGTTAGCTGATACTACTGATACAAAGTCAAGACAAAGTCACCAACACGGATGTCCTGTCCCAAACAAACATGTATAGTATAGCGTCCCAGCCATGTTAATCCAAAGACGCCTCCGCTGGCTTGGACACGTCAAGCGAATGCAACCTGGTCGCATACCAAAGGACGTGCTATACAGCGAGCTGGCGACAGGGAAAAGGTCAGTTGGACGGCCTCGTCTGAGATACTTACACATATGCAAAAGAGGCATGAAGTCAGCCAACATCGACATCTCAAACTGGGAGGAGCTGGCAGAGGATCGATCCTTATGGCGGAGCATCATGAAGGCAGGATTGGACGGCCTCGTCTGAGATACTTACACATATGCAAAAGAGGCATGAAGTCAGCCAACATCGACATCTCAAACTGGGAGGAGCTGGCAGAGGATCGATCCTTATGGCGGAGCATCATGAAGGCAGGATCACTACATGCCGAGGAGCAAAACAGGGCGGAAACAGCTGCAAAAAGAGCGAGGAGGGAGGCCGGTAAATACTGCTCCACCGCATTCGTGTGTGGGAAATGCAACAGAGACTGAGACTGCCATTCGAGGATTGGTCTCACCAGCCACACCAAGAGCTGCAAGCAATAAAGATAATCTATCGTCTCCCACAGACGGAAAGATGCCATACTACTGATAGTAATAGTAGTGATAGACTACGTTGCTGCAACCAAGTACTGGCATATGTGCAACGGTTTGGGAAACAATGCGGCTATCCTAACACCTCCTAGCGGGTGCCAGGGAAGCCTTGAAGCTCTCGATAGATTGCGAGTCCACGGTGGCATTGTCCAGTTGGTTCCAAGCAGTTATTGTTTGAAATTTTGTTTATATGGAATATGGGGTGACCATTTTAGATTATTCGAGAAGAGAATTCCAAGGTATGGATTATTTGATACTTGTTGGAGAATGGGCTTGTTTAGAGAGTACATATAGGTTGATGGGGTGGGTATTTTTTAGATGCTCATTGTGTAGCATTTGGTTTCGTTAAATATCATGCCCCATTTGTCCGAGCGATTCATAAGGCAAATCTGGTTGGAGGTGGTTGTGGTCATCGTAGTCATTTATCTCTCTGTAGACAGGACAGTCATCTGCAAACAGTCTCACTTGAGATTTTGAGGGAGGAAGAGAAGGGGGCCCAACACTGTACCCTGAGGAACTCCTGAGTCTACAGTGGCTTTGCTTGATTGGACGCCATCCACCACTACTTGCATGGTCCTTTGTGTTAGGAATGTTGAGAGTCAGGAATGAAAGTTGCCGATAATGCCCTAGTGGTAGAGCTTATGTAGAAGAAGGCTGTGTGGAACAGTGTCGAAGGCCTTGGAGAAGTCGAGAATAGCCTTGTCGATCTGTTTACCTTTGTCATAGAATAAAAGGAGATCATTTGTGGTGATGATTAATTGAGTTTCTGTTGATAATATATGACATCAGGCCCTCTCTAAATGACATAAGTAATGACATCAGGCCCTCTCTAAATGACATAAGTAATGACATCAGGCCCTCTCTAAATGACATGAGTGTAATGACATCTGGCCCTCTCTGAATGACATAAGATTAACGACATCAGGCCCTCTCTAAATTGCATAAGTGTAACGACATTGTGATTACCACTGCAGATAAAGATGGTGGTGTTGTTTGAGAAAAAACATGTAGATTAAAGAAGCCAAGAAGATACAAAATTGTATAATTCAACCAAGAACAACCCGATTGTTGAAAGCATTGAAATCCCATGAGACAAACAATAAAAGAATTTATGATAATTCAAAACATCTACAAATATTCAATAGTGACCCAGAAAAACCTTCTTTCTATCTACTGCCTAACCTTCACAAAATAGACAACCTGGATGACCTAATATCTCGCACTGATCTTGCTTTACAGAACATATCTCATAATTTTTTTATGGGATCTCCAGCTTTTTGTAATTACTTTACTCACATATATTAAGGACACCAACCACCACATATATTAAGGACACCAACCACCACATATATTAAGGACACCAACCACACTTTAAAACATTAAATTCCCTAAACATTACCCCTTATACAAAACATATCCTGTTTATACTTGATGTCAGCGCCTTATACAACGTTTATTCCATAAGCTGATGGTATTAAGGCTTTTCTTCAAAATCAAACCACTTCCATTACTTTATAATGACAGACTTAACTGACAGGCCGAACTGGAACTCACCCTCAGCTCTTTGAAAAATCGCCATAAAAAGTGTCATATCTTTATGGATGGTCTCTGTAATGGTAAATCCTATTTGTTTTTTAATTCCCATAGGTAGCAGATCAAAAGTTTTCTGCACATCGCATCATCCTGGCAGCAACCATCCCATATTTCCAGGCCATGTTTACACACGATATGGTTGAAACAAAGCAAGCTGAGATAACAATGGAAAGTATAGAACCAAGGTAAAATAAATGAGGCTGTACAAAATATTGAAGATTGCACATACTGGAAGGGCAACTGAGTTAATAGTCTCAGCTTCTCCAACTGATTAAAACCTTAGGAACAATTATAATTTGTGATATTTTAATTATCAGGATATTTAAACTGCAATAATAACAATATCTGTAAATTATGATTTTAATACTTGTAGCTGTAATTATAATTTTTAAAATGTTGATTCTTCCGACATTGATTATTGTCCATAACAATTTGTAACATTCTTTTTTCAAGTAAAGAACTATAACTTTTTATAATCTAATATTTTCTCAGCATTGGGTAAGGGTGGTGCAGGGTGTCACAGACTAATGATGGTCGTATGAGGTATCGGCCATTGCGTACCAAGTAGTGTTGGTGTTGGTTGAGGCAGGGGTTCCATTGCGTACCAAGTAGTGTTGGTTGAGGCAGGGGTTCCATTGCATACCAAGTAGTGTTGGTTGAGGCAGGGGTTCCATTGCATACCAAGTAGTGTTGGTTGAGGCAGGGGTTCCATTGCGTACCAAGTAGTGTTGGTTGAGGCAGGGGTTGCTCCTCTCTGTGACAAGTTCAGTGTCCAGACGTTGAGGAAATATAACGAAGACAACACAGACTTGAAAGAATGACTAAGAAATTCCTCATTGACAACTATAAATAAAGAATGTATTAATAGATCCAATACAGTCTAATGATGTTCCTTTTCAAACCGTTAACATCCATTAATCTTCAACGCTTTCCAACTTCCAAAACATCCATTAATTTTCAACGCTCTTTAACCTCAAAACATTTCTTTCTTCCCCCGGATATCGCACCTAGCTCATTCTTTTTAAATAAAACTGGTGCCACATATCAGGGAAATTCCTAACAAACGCATTATAAATTACATGAAAAAGCAATAGAGCGCCATTTTTACACCCCAACCCAGTCATTTGTGACACAGGGGTGGGAGGGTTCCCACAAGTACCAAGATCCACCACCTCTTGTAGGGTATATGATTGCACCAGGTTGAGGATAGTAGGACACTGAAAAAAGTCCATGCAGACCGAGGCATGGGTAGTGCAGACTGTCGCAATCTGCAACGGCCGTTGGGTACCATCATCAATGAGCACAACTGTCAGATTGTAAGCGACACACACATTAGTTATCAATCAAGGGTTGCTAGTTAATGATAAATATCCATTTAGATGGAGGGACGTGTGAAGTTAATCAGAGCACCATGGAATAGAAACAATTCACAGATGCAGAAATAGATACTGGTAGTCCAAGAGATGCCACGACTAATGGTGTAGAAACAATTCGCAGATGCAGAAATAGATACTGGTAGTCCTAGAGATGCCACGACTAATGGTGTAGAAACAATTCGCAGATGCAGAAATAGATACTGGTAGTCCTAGAGATGCCACGACTAATGGTGTAGAAACAATTCACAGATGCAGAAATAGATACTGGTAGTCCCAGAGATGCAACGACTCATTCAGGGACTAATAAAAGGGGGCCATTAGTGGGGACTAGGGAAGAATTAATCCAGGTAGGAGAATATGACAGTTGGGGAGAACAAAGCCAGAGAGCAGTCAAAGTAACAATGGAGGGTACCACAGTACAGTTGAGGGTCTGACTTGGGCAGTAGAGAGAGATGAGCTGTGACAGTCAGAGCTGAGTACCAGACAAGTGAAAGGGAATCATAGTAGCAGATAAATAAAGATCAAAGGTGTAACCATTGACAAGTTGTCTGTTATCTGATTGTTGCAGTAAAGTGAGCAAGATTATCATCCAAAATAAATGTATTAGAGATCAAAGAGCAGAATTTTGACCAGTAAATGTTTGCTTCAGTATTGATTTGCTTTTGTTTTATTAAAACTTTTACTGACCAAGTCCGAAGTTCTGCCATTTAGCAAAGTGGTGAGAAATCCCTGATCAAAATCTGATGTGGGGTTATAAAAATGAAAAACTGTTGTGTAATTCATAATGGGACCCATGATTATAGAGATCAATAATTTACCATAATTTATATGCTTTACCCATATATATATATATATATATATGGCATCCTTCCATCTTCTCCAGACGACAAAGTAGCTATTACATGGGGTGTGGTGCCAATCCTAAAATGGCAGTCATGGCTGCACTTCTCTCAGGAGAACCTTTATCAGCTTTACTGTCGTAATTAAATTATTTGATAATTTTAAATATAATGTAATGAAATTATACAGGCCTACTTAAGTCTGCTCATGGCTTTTTTCTTCCGGCTTAAGCTTATCACCCCTTTCCTTTTCGCAAACTGGCCAAATCACAAAATTAAGAAAAGATTGGACAGTCAGTTTACAGTGACATTGGCATTTTGGCTGATTCCCTGTTTTGGCCGTGACATAGTCATTTTTTGCCCTAATCTACTGATGTAAAACAAATTTAATTTCTTTTTGTTGTTTCCAGTGCTCTGGAGGCTCTTATCAACTTTTCCTATACTGGCCGGGTGGTGATAGATATGAACAATGTTCAGTCACTGCTCATCGTTGCTGGATTTCTTCATATGCAAGCTGTCAAGGATGCTTGCACCACATATCTTAAGAACAGGTCGGTCCAGAGATTGATCTAAAGCAAAGATATGCTGCAGTTCAATGCATGATTTTAAATATATTTCAACAGATATCATCACTAAGACCACCTTGATTTTAAATATTCCATGAAAGAGGACACCATTCATATAGTTGAACCAGATATTTCTTTGTAACATTTTTATTTTCAATTTAATTTTTAATATTCATATTTAATAATTTATCTGTCAAAATGTAAACCCTATAATGAAGGCAGCTTCAGACCTCCAACTGCAAATACCATCATTTATGAAAAGAATCTCAAGACTTAAGTCACTGTTATGTCAATGTTATTTAAGTCTAAAAGTATGTTCACAAAACATATTACTGCTTATTGTTATAATATGATTGATGTAAAAAAAAAAAAAAAATATTGTGAAGAGTTTACTGGTTTAACAGCATCTAAATAATATGAACTAATACAAATTATATAATTATTTACTTTAAATTCATGTTATACAATCATTACCAATATGTAACTTAAAAACATTTTTTAAAATAATGCTACGGTGTATAAATTAACTATTGCCTTCTTGCCACAGATTTGTATGTCATTGTATGTCCACGGTCTTAAAAGGGTATCACCTGGAATTGCACATAAAAACATGCCATCTGTGTTCTCTTTTAAATCACTGTAGCCACATTTTTGTATGAACCTTGTTGGTTTGCAGACTCGAACCCAGTTCATGCCTGTCTGTTAGGCAGTTTGCCGACCAGTACCAATGTCCTAGTTTAGTTGAGGCATCCAACAAGTACATCCAGAACAACTTCAGACAGGTCAGTTTTTATGAGTCATGAATACAGCTTAAAAGTGCAGGAAAGCAAATTTAAAAAATAGTTGAATAGGTTCCGCTAGTGGGGAAATGAAACAAATTTACTGACCATATTGTATATTATGTTTTGATTTTTTTAAATATCAGATCCTCCGCCATATGTTTAAAAAAAAATTTGATATTACTTCAATAAATCTGTTAATGTTTATTCTTTTGTAATCACATATACAATAAAGTCAATAGGGGTGCCTCAATACTTAGACAATTTTATACCAATATGGTGGCTGGTGGAGGGCTGCCAATATGGTGGCTGGTGGAGGGCTGCCAATACGGTGGCTGGTGGAGGGCTGCCAATAGGGTGGCTGGTGGAGGGCTGCCAATAGGGTGGCTGGTGGAGGGCTGCCAATAGGGTGGCTGGTGGAGGGCTGCCAATAGGGTGGCTGGTGGAGGGCTGGCAATATGGTGGCTGGTGGAGGGCTGCCAATATGGTGGTTGGTGGTGGTGGAGGGGTGCAAATAGGGTGGCTGGTGGAGGGGTGCCAATAGGGTGGCTGGTGGAGGGCTGCCAATAGGGTGGCTGGTGGAGGGCTGCCAATAGGGTGGCTGGTGGAGGGCTGTCAATATGGTGGCTGGTGGAGGGCTGCCAATATGGTGGTTGGTGGAGAGCTGCCAATATGGTGGTTGGTGGAGGGCTGCCAATATGGTGATTGGTGGAGGGCTTGGAATCAAACACTCTTTTTCAGTCATATTTTTATTAAATTTATTCAGCTGTTGATAGATAGAATAATATGAATACTTCCATAGAATGAAATGGCCTTTGGCTTAATCCAGTTTTTTTAAAAATTATGTCTCTGTCGGGCTTTGTGTCTTAAATATGGGATTTATAATTAAGTAGCCGAGGAACGATGTTCATGCTGTTAAAACCCTCACTTGTGACATGCAGACATTGAAACATTCATATTTACTCTCTCTTCAGGTGGCACAATCTTCAGACTTTGTTCTCTTGCCCAAGTCAGAGGTCCTGGAGATCCTGTCACGAGATGAACTCTATGTGACAACAGAGGAGCAGGTGCAACAATTTTTATGCATTATTTTTTTTCACAACTTTTATGATATGATCAACGGAACGCAACTTGAGTGCTGTTCATTGTAATGTTGGCTTGCTGTGCATTGTTTAGTTGGCTTCCTACTAGAAAGAAACAAATCTTGACTGACTTAAGTTAGTCTTTTTTTTACATTATCTTTTAAAAGATTTTGACTGAGTTTGTGGTCATAAGGCTGTAAGTGGACCTGTTAAATGTCAGGCCATGAATGGACCTGTTAAATGTCAGGCCGTGAGTGGACCTGTTAAATGTCAGGCCATGAGTGGACCTGTTAAATTTCAGGCCATGAATGGACCTGTTAAATGTCAGGCCGTGAGTGGACCTGTTTAATGTCAGGCAGTGAGTGGACCTGTTTAATGTCTGGCCGTGAACAGGCCTGTTAAATTTAAAGCAGAGATGGAGGCATGTGATGTTAAATGAAAGGCGGAGATGGGGTCAATCTCAGGTCAACTATTCGTTTCATATCGTTTGATGCAGAGATTGTGGGGATTGAGGGGGGGAGAATGCCATGTTATCTTGAAGTTCATTTTGGCCAGCTGCAATCTCTTGTAACAGAATTCAACTTGATGGTATTAAATATGGTACTTGTCTTTTGGACATGCATCCCTGTTGTCTTAAACCTCATCAGTTTTTAAAGTCTCTGGCCATTAGTTTGACTTAATATGCACTGCCTGACTCAAATCTGATCAAATTGTAAATAAACAGGTCTTTGAGGCAGCCATGCGCTGGATCAAGCATGACCCAGCGAACCGTGTCAAAGATTTGCCAGAGCTCATGGTGAAAGTCAGACTGCCTTTGTTGACACCCCAGTACCTAAGTGATTCGGTGGCCACAGAAGACATCATCAAGAATTCCTTACAATGCAGGTAGCACAGTTTGTGCACATTGCGGAATGTGTTCTAAGCTCATCCCCCCACACTTGGTATTCTTTTGATTATAATTGCAACCTATCCTCATTATTTTGTATCATCATTGAATTTAAGTGGACCACTGAAAAAAGTTCTATAATTAATTGCTTCACACAATTGTGTTTTCAAATCAATCGAAATGTGCTTTATTTAATTAATTTTTTAAAATTCACTCTCATAATTAATTTTTTTTTTAAAGAATTAAATTGTATGACCTCATTTAATACACAGGGACAACTGGGTAAATATGGGAAAGTAAATAAATGCATTAATACTTGTAATGTATTTTATCAGTACATATCTACATAATGATTATTTAAATTTAATGCTTAAAAAAAAAATTTTTTTTCTATTAAATGTAATCATGTTCATGTTTGATATTTTTTTCTTTTCATTCATCACGATCTCTATTTCACTTTGTCCATTATATATAATTTATTGTTAAGATACAAAATAAAATCTCTTGACCTAAACATTACTAGGCTCTGCCCTCCAGTATTAAACACTTGACATTATTTTCTTGTGTTCCAGAGATCTGCTGGATGAAGCCAAGGACTACCACCTGATGCCGGAGAGAAGGGTCTTGCTGCAGACATTTAAGACAAGACCCAGGTGCTGCACAGACATACCAGGATTTGTATTTGCTGTGGTCAGTTGTGGTTTATCATAGCACGTGATTTGGCATCCCCTTTTTAAAAAATTGTTTTTCAATGACAAAATTAAATGAAAGAGTACATTAATTTTTCTAGCTCTGTGTCATATGTCGTATCCGCTTGGAGATATGCTACCAACAAAATATTTACACAGATCCCGATCCTGGGCAAGTTTCTCTCACCCACCCTACCAGCAAGGTTTGAAAGCTCTCGACTAAGAAATCCATCTTTCTCCAGAAATTTTCTTCTTATTTTTGCTTCTGTTGTGAATTGTTTTTTGTTTTGTTGCTAGTGGTTTGTGGTATTTAGCACGTCACCCAGAGTGCTGTAGATTTCCCTAGCCCTCCGCCTTTCTCATCTGAACTTGGTATCTGCAATTCCAGAGTTTTGGAGACTTCCATTATTGTTGATCTGTTGAGTCAACAAGCAAATATTCCTCATGATTTGAACCCATGTTTCAACAATATTTGTAATTTTTTTTAAAATTCTAGATGGAAAAATAAGTTTTGAACAAACAAATTTGCAATAATTTTACAATTAACATTTATATGAAAGAAAAATAAAGAAGTATTAAAAATATCTTTATGTTAGGTGGTTAAATTGGGCTGAGAAAAGAAGAAATATTATACCAACATTTAATTTCACGCTTTAAAAAAAAATATATATATTTTAGAAGTGCCATCTTTAAATTAGTTTTCATAATTTTTGAGTATTTGATGACAGGGTGGACTAACAATGGCTGGAGACTCGCTAAGTACAGTCGAGAGATATGATCCCATCACTGGTCAGTGGACACTGGGTGAGCCAATGACAACGATGAGAAGTCGAGTTGGCGTCACAGTACTTAAAGGTAATTGTTTCGTTGCATATTTTTACAGTGGCTCTGGGTTATAAATGTGCCAGATCTCGTATTCTCAAAAGTTTGTAAGATCAAATAAATCCTACAGTTGACAGCAGATATACCACCTCGGTTGATGTTTACCACCTGGGTTGGTATTTACCACCTCGGTTGGTGTTGACCACCTCGGTTGGTGTTGACCACCTGCTGTGACAGTAAAACAACTGCTGTGACATAATTGCCATGAAATTTACGTCTGTTTTAATATTTATTTCCAAGTCATTTAATCTGTTCAAGACATCAAGGAATTTTGTTTTTCACTTCTAATTTCTTAATTTTTAGACTTGTTCTGATATGTTAAAGCCATTTCAAACTGTTTTGCACATTTCAACTCATTGCTATATCTGGACGTGTGTTAGAATTTCCACATACAATCATTATATCTATATTTTGTAGAGCCTGTGTGTCTCACGGGCACAAACAGAATGTGTCATGGGCACTGCCAGGGCATCTCATGGGCACTGCCAGGGCATCTCATGGGCACTGCCAGGGCATCTCATGGGCACAGCCAGGGTGTCTCTTGGGCACAGCTAGGGTGTCTTATGGGCACAGCCAGGGTGTCTCATGGGCACGGCCAGGGTGTCTTATGGGCACAGCATCATGTTTTGAGAGAATGAAATCATTTTCTTTTTTGGGAGGAGATTAATTCAGTATGATGCTCTCTCGTTTCTCCCATCTACATACAGATTCATTCTTTGTTTTAAATGTTTTAAGTGTTGAGGTTTTCTACTCAGGTCGACTGTATGCCATTGGAGGCTACAATGGAATGGAGCGATTGGACACGGTGGAGGTTTATGATCCTGTTACAAAAAGGTGGAGCCGTGTTGCTGCTATGCAGTGCAAGCGAAGGTAAACAAAAAAAATAAAAATCGATAGAGCTTACCTTGTCATTGTGACCAAAAATTTAAGCTTATTGTCATTCCTTAGGTTGTGGTCAACCAATGTTATCATTTGTTTTCTAGTCAGTAGATTTTTAAAAAATTATTATCAAAATTAACTATCACTTGCATGAAATAATATTTTTTTTTTTAAAGAGGCTGAATTTGTTTCCTCGTTTCAGTGCACTTGGAGCTGTGAGTTTGAATGGTCGTTTGCTTGTTTGTGGGGGCTACGATGGAGTTACCTCCCTTAGATCCTGTGAAACTTATGACCCAGAAGCTAATGTGTAAGTGAATACACTCACACTTGCCTGTGTTAGTGAATACACACACTTACCTGTGTAAGTGTAAGTGAATACACACACCTATCTGTGTTAGTAAATACACACATCTATCTCTAAAGGGTTTCAGTAGGTGATTCAGGAATGTTTTATGACTTATTGATACATTCACGTTTCTTGTTGAGCATGGAATCCCTGATGTCAGTGCAAACCAGAGCTTCATTTAAATAATTTCTAAATAAATAATTTAGATGTCAATATGACTCCTGCTTCTTGGTTTATAAAGTTCCAGCTGGTGTTAAGTTGGTTTATAAAGTTCCAGCTGGTGTTAAGTTGGTTTATAAAGTTCCAGCTGGTGTTAAGTTGGTATATAAAGTTCCAGCTGGTGTTAAGTTGGTATATAAAGTTCCAGCTGGTGTTAAGTTGGTATATAAAGTTCCAGCTGTATCTTATCTCTATTAACTATATTACCATTGATGACAATTTAAATTCTTCTTGGATGTTAACATTCCAGCTGGTGTTCGATTCAGCCAATGAACAAACATCGCAGTGCAGCTGGTGTGACGGTCCTGCACGGCAACATGGTGGCCTGTGGAGGTCATGATGGCCTGTCTATTTTTGATTCAGTAAGTTGTCTCGTGAGGGTATCGGTCGGTCAGTTAACATTGGCTGCCCAAAAGTTTTGGCGCCAAGTCACAGCAAAAATTGTTGTGAACAAATTATAGGAAAATATAAACGAAATTATTTTGACTGCAAGTAGCAAATAGTTGCTAGGAATCAGTGAAACAAATAGCTGCCAGGAATCAGTGAAACAAAAAGGTGCCAGGAATCAGTGAAACAAATAGTTGCCAGGCATCAGTGAAATTATTTTGAGGCGTTAAAATAAATCTTGAGAATAATTAATCTGCATCTGCATCTGCTAGACTGTATAGAGACATGAGTGTGCAGATAAAGCCTAAGATGAGAAATGTCTTTTAAACACTCGTCATTAACACTGAAATGTGCTCCAGTGGATCATGTGGACTGCTTTATTTTCTATTTCAGTTGAAGGCCATGTCATTCTCCAATATCAATATATAGATGAATTAATGACTGTTCAACATTTTTCTATCATTTTGGGCCAGTTGTATTCCATTTAATATCAGAAGAAAACAACACTTGGGCCCAAATGATACTTTTATTTATTTTTTTTTTAAGATGGGGCAGAAACTGAAAAGTAAACGTGGTGAATGACGAAATCAACGGAGAGGGTGTTGAGCCACATTAACCTGTGGCCTCACACCTTCTTTTGCGTATTTTACATTTTTAACTTTTTGCCAATAAATTGGATTATGTCTGCTGAAGTCACTTGTCCAAATAACTCTGTGATTTTTTGAGTCTTCACCTTACTTCAGTACACTTTGTGATATGTAAGCTTTCTGCATTTGTCCGCCATCAAACCATCTTGTCACTAAATTATTTGATCATCATTCTTTCCAATTTAATTTCTTTCACAGGTGGAATCTTACAATCCGTCAACAGGTGAGTGGAAGCAGCTTCCGACCATGAAGTCCAAACGCTGCCGCCTAGGTGTGGCCACTCTGAATGGCAAAATTTATGCGGTTGGCGGTTATGATGGCTGCGTGTTTCTCAAGACTGTGGAGAGATATGACCCTGACACGCAGACCTGGGAGATGGTTGCGCCTATGCATGTGAGGACCCTCTAATTTTAGTGTTGGGGTTGGCAATGGTGACAGAGTTTTGTTGTAAAAGTTTCAAGTACAGCCGAGTCACTGACATTAAAAACATGAGAACCATCATCTCCTCAGACACGGCAGATTGAAATCAATGAATCCCAGTCAAGATAGACATTTTTTTAAAAAATATATCTTAAAGTTGCTACCAGGACTGTAACTATGGCATTTATTAGCTGTCTTACATAGATTTTTAAACATTTCTTAAAGTCTACATCAGGTCGTTGCAATGCAAGTTAAAATTTTTTTTTGAAAGCACTTTGAAAAAATCTAAATGCTGTGAACACAGCTATTATTTGAATTTCAGTCAGGTTTGTGTCTAGATTTAACTTTTTAGGGGGGGGGGGGGGGTTGTTACTTTTGTTTTTGTTTTTGATTTTTAATCTGCCACTGCTCCTCACTACTTCAATGAACATTACATTCCTCTTTAACTCTGCTCCTCACTACAATGACTATTATATTCGACTTTGACTCTGCACCGACAGTGTGCACTACACATGCAATCTTGCTATTGTTGGAGAGACTTTACCATCACCTAGACAGTCCTAAAACATATGCCAGAGTGCTTTTCTTAGACTTCTTATCAGCATTTAACAACACTGTCCAACCACACCTTATGATAAAGAAATTTTCCTCGTTAGGTGTCAATTTAAATATTCAGGCTTGGATACTGAACTTTTTAACAAATCTACCACAATCCGTCAAGGTAAATAATCAATTCTCTCTAACCAGAGAAATAAGCACCGGGGCACCACAAGGCCGCGTTCTCTCCCCTGTACTGTATACACTATATACAAATGATATTCAAAGCTCAAGCGACACAGTTCCAATCTTAAAATTTGCTGATGATACCACCATTGTTGGCTTGATATCTGAAGGAGAAGGCCTATACCGCAACTTAGTTACAAGCTTTATCAATTGGTGCAATGAACATTTTCTCCAGTTGAATGTCTCAAAAACAAAGGAAATGGTTGTTGATTTCAGGAGGGGGAACACCAGATTACAAATATCAACATAAAAAATCAAAATGTGGAGAAAGTGGAGGCGCGCCAGTACTTGGGTGTCACCATTAATAATAAGCTAACATGGCACGAGCACGGCCAAATGCTGTATTAGAAATTCAACCAAAGACTGTTTTACCTCAAAAAAATACAATTTTGGCGTAAACAAGCAAGTCGTTAACTTATTCCTCAGTGCAACAATTGGAAGCCTCCTTAATTTCAGTATTACCTGCTGGTGTGGGAATTCAACTTCTGATATTAAACACAGCATAAACCGACTGATCAAGAAAGCTAGGAACATAACACAAACTAAACATCCTTCACTTGAAGAACTACTTGAAGAAAAATGTTTTTGCAAAACTAAACACATTTTGGATGATACATCCCACCCTCTTCATCACAGATACTTAGGATCGGGCCGTTCGGGACGAATTCTTTCCATCAGGGCGAGGACTGAAAGATATAAAAATTCTTTTGTTCCCCAATCTGTACGAATTTACCAGCGTACTCCCTCTGAAGTCACACATCTTAATGAGAACTAATAAGTCCCCGATTTGGCTAAGAGAACTCACTGAATGGCTGTTTGAACTAATTTATTATAAATGTCTTGTGTTCAAATTGTTTCATTTATGACCTGAAAATGTATAATGCAATCATAAAACATTTCCATTTGTTTGGATCAATAAAAGAATCTTATCTTATGTTATCTTATATTAAAATGTGTCTCATCAAATCTTTTTCTCCATTCACCAGGTCAAAAGGAGTCGTGTCTCGTGTGCTGCCACCTACGGCCGCCTGTACGCCATCGGCGGCTATGACGGGATCACCAACCTCAACTCTGTGGAGATGTTTGATCCGAACACCAACGAGTGGAAGTTTGTGGCCAACATGAGCGCCCACGAAGGGGGTGTGGGGGTGGGGGTCATGCCGATGGAGTCTTTCGCTGGAGACAATTCTTTCAACCAGCAGGTGTGAGGCCGGGGTCATGAATACATCCAGCAAGTTTCTTGTGATGAAAACAATTGAGTCTGTGTCAATTAAAAGACTTGACAGCTGCCTTACAGCTGAATTATTTCCAAGCTACTAAAGGCAACAAAACCACATAGAGACCAATGGAAGTGCCTGGGATGCAACATAAATATGCCATGATGTATTAATTCAGTGTTTCCTTGATTTGGGGGGGGGGGGGGGGAGGGTGAATGTTCACGTTAAAAAAAAATGACCCCACCAGTTCACAAAAGCAGATTGTTAGTCTTATTCACAAATTATTGTCCGGACAACCTAAAATGCTCAAGTAAAATATTAAATGGATATTTTTAAAAATTGATTGCTTATTTTGAGTTTGCAATAGCATTGACCTTATATGTCAGTGCTCATTTTTTTTTACCAGAAAAATTTATAAATTTGTTCCATTAATTCGCTATCTGAACATATTGCACATTTTTTTTTTTAATCAATCAGTTATTTTTAACAGAAAAAACTTTAAATTTCTTACAGCAGACCACTTAGGAATGGAACAAATATAACAATTTACACATTAATATAAATGAACTTTTAACTAAAATACATATACCGTATATATTCGCATATAAGCCGAATTTAGAACTTTAAAATACAATACTGAAATCAAGGGGTCGGCTTATATGCGCATAAAACAAAATGGACCCAAGAACAGACAGTAATGCCAATTTTCCAGCCACACATTTTCATCGCTATCTGACTCTTTACTTGGTTGTGTGTACAGAGTACTAATATATATATACAGATATTATTATAGCAAACAATGTTGGAAAGAGCAGAACACATTTTTGTGTCATTCCAAAAGGTAAACAAACTGGTATGTAACATAAATGTAATCATTTTACATCTTTACAGTAACACATTTCTATGAACCAAAAATATGGAGTAAAATTAGACAATTGTATGGTCGGCTTATATGCGGGTTTTTGCAAAAACTGGCCATTTTAAAGCAGTTTTAAGGGGTCGTCTTATATGCAATGTAGGTTTATATGCGAGAATATACTGTACTTTTAATTTTTTAAAAATCTTTTCCTTTACCATAAAACTCATACAAGATGATATTTTTGAATGTATTCCGGAATATTAATTGTAATTACTTAAGCATTGAATATGTATATGTTGCAAAAAGAAAAAACTGTGTAAACCGTGGGAACACTGAGTTTTTACATATGTTGACCAGCTTTTTCTGGATCCCAATACTATGTGAAAGGGAAACAAGTTTTGAAATATTTCTTGGAACAAGGTCAAATTGTGGCATGAACTGGACACTATCATCACAGTATGGCCATGTTGGGAGACAGATTTGACCAAATTTGTTGTAACCACTGGACAAGTGGGCAGGACCCACAGGCAGTCGATCTCCCCTTCTATGGGTTCATTTAAAAAATATTTTTTTGGATGTTTACTTATTTTTTGCCATTTAGGTGGATTCTAGTCAGCATAGACAGCCACCCCTTCTCCCCCCCCCCCTCCCTCAACCCCAACATAATGTTACCCTATAGTCCGCATAGACAGCCACCCCTTCTCCCCCCCCCCTCCCTCAACCCCAACATAATGTTACCCTATATCAGTATTATGGGCAGATTTGGAGAAGAGGAAAAAAAAACGACCTCTCATTGTCATTACATAAATAAAAAGTTATATCAAGAGAAATAGGAATTGTTTAAAGTCCAAACTTCCCCCACCACCACCACCCCCTTAAACCCTTAACCCCAAATTGTGATAAAGAGAGCTTTATGGCAGCCTTGTTTCTTCTACTAGCCAAGACCTTGACCTTGAGCTAATCCTGTGTCATCTCCAGGACAGCAGGCAGTATGCTGGAGAATATGTTTCAGGTCAACTCACAACAGCTTATAATATAGAACAAACTCTCTTTTCTTTTTCCTGTTGTTGCTTTTATTTATTTTTTTTATAAAGTGACACATTTGTAACTATTTGTAAATAATTGATCATCATCATTTCTGTGGACTGCCATTGTTTCAATGAACAGCCGCCGTGCTGTAGATGATGGCTTTGTTGTGATACAGCTGGTGCCTAGCATTGTGGTGAACCAAGGCATCGGGCCGCTCTTGTTATTATTAGACCAAAGTAACAATTGTGAAAAGTGTGATTGTCATTATTCGACTTCTGACTCACTGAGAACTTTTGGTTCTTACTGAGAACTTTTTGTAAAATTCATTTCTTGGATTCATAAAAAACATTTTTTTAAAAATCACATATCCGTGAACTTTGTACGTTATTGTCACAATCTGGGCTTTTTGTTTGTTAATACACTGTTTAATTCTGTAGCCTTGGGGAAAGTTTAGTTTGTATCAGCCTGAGGCCAAAGTAGATTTCTTTCATTAAAATTAAGGCACTTCTACAATCACTAATGCCATATGCAGGTGTGACCTTTGACCCTGGCCAATGATGTCTCTTAAGTGCTTTTAAATTATTGTTATTTTCCAGCCATACCAGCCTTGGTACATTTGTCAGGATTCTAGGATCCCTGAAGTGGCCAGGTATTGTTTCATCAACAAGCAGGCAGCGCCGGATTAACCTAAAGCCAAACAGGGCACTTGCCTTGAGACCCAGAGCCTTTTAGAGGACCTGCAGGGTTGCTAACTCAGTAAAATAAAATTTTACTCACAAATATATTTTCAACATTCACAATTATAAAGGATTTAGGGACACATTTTGAAAAATTTAATTTTGTTAAAACTGTGAGGCTTTAAAAAAAAGTTATAGACTAATGATTTTTTTTTATGTATCTACGACTCTTGTACTTTTGTCAAATATTAAACACATATGACCCTGTTTGTTTCTTGGACTATGAAATATAACCATGAGACATGATTCTATTTTATTCATTTATTACCAGTTTTTTCTCTTCATTATGAGTTATCAATCAAGTTTGAAGCAAGCAAGAAGTAAAAAAAAAAAATGAAATTTCCCCGTTTTATTTCACTTCAAAAAATGTTTGTCTCATTTTTTTTATGAACATTCTAAAATTCCAACAGACATAAATTTTTGACATGCTCCTACCTACTAATCTTTGTTTAACCTGAAGTCTTGAGATTGGTTTGGTACACCTGAAGTCGGTGCCATGTTGATCCACGCCCTAATGTTTGTTTGTTCTTGTGAAGCAGGTAATTAGCGTGATTCTTGCTTGCACTTTGGCTTTTCAAATCTAAACCTGTTCATACTGAAGCAGAAAGAGAAAAATCTTTAAGCCGCAAAATGGCTGCCTGAAGGGGTTTTATGGAAGTGCGATGTTTGTTTTAAACAATGTAGTAAAAGGTTTTGATATATACACATAGTTAGCAGACGCCAAGCTGGAAATTAACTATTTTTCATGTTGCTGACAAAGCCGTGGCCATTCATTTTTTGAGACCCTCTTCACATTTGTGACTATTGCCTCGGGCCTTCCAACCCCCCAGTTCCTGATACCCTCGCTGTGTAGCCCTTGCAACCAGTGAAATAGCCTCTTCAACACCAGGCACAGAAACATTGCGAATCCCCCTTACATACACAGGAGCCAGAATGATCAATACACTGATCGTGGGCCCCGAATATATAGAAGAGAAGAAGAAGAAATGTTCAGTTCAGTACCCCCTGCATTCAAAGTTGATAGTTTGTATTTTTTTCTGCATCACAACTTTTGGCCCCTTAAAGATCTGACCCCCACCTGCACCCCACGCGCGACATCATTTGTTTTTGCAAGAGGACCCTAATGGCCCACTTTCTAATTGTCTTTCACCAATATAGTGACACTGTTAAAATACCCTTATTGCACTACTATTTAATGAATGGTTTGTCTGACTCGCTGTGTTCTCCCAGGGGATGTGTGTGCTCCGGTCTTTAATAACCAGTCAATAGCTGCATGCCACAAGATATAAGCCATTGAGACATACACAAGTGTAACCAGTCAATAGCTGCATGCCACAAGATATAAGCCATTGAGACATACACAAGTGTAACCAGTCAATAGCTGCATGCCACAAGATATAAGCCATTGAGACATACACAAGTGTAACCAGTCAATAGCTGCATGCCACAAGATATAAGCCATTGAGACAGACACAAGTGTAACTAGTCAATACACTGGCATTTTTCTAAATTATTTTCATAAATATATATTTCTAAGAGATGCTATTTTTAAAAATGCATCACCTGAAATGTTAAGGGCCTTAAAAGCTCACTGAAATTGCCTGTGCTATTTTTTTCACTTATCGGTATTTCTTAAGTTAATTTTTTTTCTTTCACATGGCAATTTTTTATCAGTTTCAAAAAAATTTGGAAATGTTATTAAATATTTTGAATTTGTAAATATTTTTAAATTAAAATAATTTTTTGATGAAGGTTCTGTTGAAAAATTCATAAATACATTTGTTGTCGACAAGTTTTCACTCTTAGCGACAAGTTTTCACTCTTGGCGACAAGTTTTCACTCTTGGCGACAAGTTTTCACTCTTGGCGACAAGTTTTCACTCTTGGCGACAAGTTTTCACTCTTGGCGTGTTTTGTGGAGAAAAAGCATTGACTGGTAATCATCGATCATGTCATGAAAATGTATTAAATTCATTAACATCAAAGAAGGTGTTATTTTATTTGAATTAAATGGCTGTAAGATTAAAGGTGTGAATTGGTGTTTGTTGCCTTCCAGAAGTACGCTGTGCCGAGAATGTACACCATGCTGAGAATGTACGCGACTTTTTTATGTCAGATTGACTGAGTGTGAATGTTCACTTTCTTATGTTAAATTGACTGAGTGTAAATGTTCATATTTTATGTTAAATTGACTGAGTGTGAATGTTCATATTTTATGTTAAATTGGCTGAGTGTGAATGTTCATGTTCTTGTCTTATGTTAAATTGACTGAGTGTAAATGTTCATATTTTATGTTAAATTGACTGAGTGTGAATGTTCATATTTTATGTTAAATTGACTGAGTGTGAATGTTCACGTTCTTGTCTTATGTTAAATTGACTGAGTGTGAATGTTCATATTTTATGTTAAATTGACTGAGTGTGAATGTTCACTTTCTTGTCTTATGTTAAATTGATTGAGTGTGAATGTTCATATTTTATGTTAAATTGACTGAGTGTGAATGTTCACGTTCTTGTCTTATGTTAAATTGATTGAGTGTGAATGTTCATATTTTATGTTAAATTGACTGAG